TTGCCTCAACTTAGGACAGGGAAGGTTTTCCTAATTATACAAGCAAAGGTAGAAAGCTTAAGGGGAAAGATTTACAGTTTCTCTTACATAAAAACAAAAACCTTAGGCATGTCAAAAATATCATAAACAAAACAGTAAAAGACAAACAATAAATGAACACTTGCCAAGTATTTAACAACCTTTTTACATAAAGTGTGTTATAAAGTTCTAAGAAAAGGATGATCCATCAGTAAGAAGAAATTTTGAAAGGTTAAGATGCAAATAACAAGATGATAAATGACGCACAAACTTACCCTAACAAATATTAAATATGAAATATGGCTAAGATTTTTTTTCTCCAATCAACTTGGTAAATGTTAAAACTAACTTTTGGTTATAGAAGAATCTAGAAAGTAAGCATTCATATACTGCTGGTGGGAGAAAAAGCCAATTTCTAGAAACTTATCCTAAATAATCAAAGATGAGCCAAACATTTATATACAAGAATGTCTGTTATGTCATTTATGCATTATAAATTTAATATATGCTTACTATAAAAGACTAATCAGGGCTTCTCTGGTGGCGCAGTGGTTGAGAGTCCGCCTGCCGATGCAGGGGACACGGGTTCGTGCCCCGGTCCGGGAAGATCCCACGTGCCGTGGAGCGGCTGGGCCTGTGAGCCATGGCCACTGAGCCTGCGCGTCCGGAGCCTGTGCTCCGCAAAGGGAGAGGCCACAACAGTGAGAGGCCCGCATACCACAAAAAAAATAAATAAATAAAAAATAAACTATAACAGTGTGGTACTGGCAACTTTTTTACTGGCAACGTGTTTACTATTATAAACAAGTCAACAATCATCACCCTTTTCATTTTTCTTCACACTTTTAGACAAGTATTTTTGTAGCATATATATCAAAAAGTGAAACTGATGACCCAAATTATACCCACGTAAAATTGATAGCTATTGTCACGTTGACTTCCAAGAGAAGTTGTATCCATTTATATTCCCAACAACACTGTGTGGATTATTCATAACAGTGAGAAATAAGAAAAATCTGTATGTCCAAAGGGCTTCAAAATTATAGTAAACATAATCAAGGGATTATTTCCCAGCCACTAAGAATGATGTTATGGATGAATGTTAAATGATATAAAAATGTTTATCATGAAAGATGGTTAAGTTACAAAAATAAGTTAAACAGTGTGAGCCTCTTGGAATTCATACAAGTTTTTAAAGAATATCTATTGACCTATACATTAATCCATCAGGCTGTGCAATGGAATGTTAATCACAGTTATCTTTGGGTGGTGGAATTACAGGCCACTAAAATAACTTTTCTCTTATGCTTTCCTGAATTTTCTATGTTCTAGAGAAAAAAATATGTTTTTGCAATCAAAACAAATCATAATCTATTTTAAAAAAACAATAAAACACTCTCTGAAAACTAGTTGTATAGAAGAATTTATATGCAACCACTCTTGATTATCATAATGAAGAGGTTTTCAGGATAAATGTTACCTACCCAGCCAAGTGTTTGCCAACTGAGTCCACACTTGGAGTATTCAGTATGGGGCACCCCAAGGAGTCATCAAGTGCTCACTGGTCTCCCCTGAAGGTCGGCCTGTGCTCAGGGTGCCAAAGGCAAAGATGAAGACCAAGGGGCTCTGCCCTCAAGAAGCCCTCAAACTAGAAGGGAAGAGGGGGCAAGTATCAGCCAATGTTAGTTGAAGGCAGGACTTGGAGGGGTCAGGACACGCTGTTGAGGTTCCCAGCCAGAAAAGCTAACACATTCAAAAATTAAAACCAAAAGAGGAAAGGCAACAGCAGGCTGGAGTTATACAAAGTTATACAAGCTTGTTATAGAAGGGAGTTATTTGTCAAATCTCTCCTAGAGGAAGCCCTAACCATCTGCAAGTACTTGAGAAGTGTAAACTCTAAGGTGGGGAAAACTAAAAGCTTTTCAAGGTACGAGGACAGCAGAATATTAAGGACAAAACTACTGGGCATATAATACACTAGACTAGGGAAGTGAAAGAAAATTTTGTTTCCTCTGACTTAAAAGAGAAAGAAAAATACTAGCAAATACATAAAATTCCATTTCAATAAACTTCCTACTTTTTCTAAGCCCAAGTAACAACTATTCAAGTCATATTTAATACAACTAATTCCTAATGCCTCAGAAGAATTTACCCAAATTTTTAGAGAGGGTCTAAAGGGAATGGGCCTTGTGCTTAAAATGAAGAGCTCCTAAGAGATGGTTCTGGTAGCCTAGATTTCTGGCTTTCCTGATTCTACAAAAGATTTTTATACTTGACATTTCACAGGAAAAACAAAACAAAACAAAACAAAAGTCACCATAAAAGTGCCCCAATCCTCTATCTAGATGCCATCTAACACATACTAGCTTGAGCATTGAATTAAGTTCATACTTTAAAACGAGGGGATGAAAAATATTTGAAATGACAGCAACACAACAGTCAATTTTTGGTGATCCACACAAAAGAAAGCATGACATGATTAGCTTTGGTCAGCTGGAGTTTAATAACATGGGATTATTACATTTTCCATAGGTAGAGTACAAGAACATTTAGAACAGGTAAGAGTTCTCAGCACGACTTCTAACTCTGCTCTGGTAAACAAGACAGGCCGTAGAAGTGCCTTTAATAATGCTCAGAAACCCACGGCAGCATTTAAAACATCAAACGCAAAATGCAACTCGTTAGACAAAATGCAACTCATTAAGCTGGAAGCTTCCCTAACAGCACCAACTGTAGAGCGATGGGTCTCAGAGTGTCCCTTTACTCTCCTCCCCACCAGCAGCACAAGTCACACTGGGGAACTCTTTACACAGGCAAACTCTCCCACCTCCTGCCCAGCCATCTGGTTGACCAAGCTCTCCAAGTGGTTGTAATTTGAGGATACTGCTGTGGAACACACTACAGAGCTTGGGAGTGTGAAACCAGGCACAAGATGCCCAATTCAGTGTGTCAGGCCAGTTCCATTTTGTTTGACCCAACCTCCACTTCCCATCCCCTGTCCCTTTTAGTGGGCAGCCCAAAGAGCAGGGCCTTGTTCAAAACATACTTTCAAAAGGCCTTTAGAGATAGGTCTAATGGAAAAACCATCTATTTTTCATATGTTATCACAGGAACATGAAGCATCATTTACTCCTATAAGAAAGGTCTCCTTTGCAGGGGACACTGAGTATTTACAGAAAGATCACTTTATCCTAGGAAATCAGATTTTGGAAAAGTAAATACAGGAAACTCAGGCTCTAAGCCTTCCATATACACCTTTACAGCCCTTGTTCAAAGTGAACTTTCCCTAATTTCAGCTGCCCAATAATGAAAACATGTGTCCTGGGCAAACCTCCACTGTTCACTCTGAAAGACAACATTACCAAGTAATGGAGAAGAGAGCCGTCTTACTTCATGCCCCCTGCTGGTCCCTCAGCCCTGAATCCACAGGGAAGCTGACCTGTTTCCCCTCTACCCATCCTTCATGGCATTTCGTGTCCTAGGACATCCTTCTTTAGCCTACATTTAGTCCTACTTCTGGGAGCTGCCATAAAAATAATAATGCTTTTTTTCTGGATGATAAGACCCATTATAAAATCAATGTCATTTTGTGTGTACTGTTAAGATTTATTTTTATTTATTTTTAAAGTTTATAAATAGCTTCCACATTTACCATCTCATTTTATTCTCATAACAACCTGTGAAGTGGGTAGTTTTATTATTCTCACTTTATAGATAAGAAAACTGGAACTTAGTGCTGACTTCAATAAACAACTGACCACTGAACAGTAAGGAGGAAATACAAATGTTCTGCATCAAAAATTAAAGAATTCACAAGGTCCAAAAGAACTCCCAAACTTTCCTGAAGTTGTCATCTGCCAAACGATATTCGCTAAAATCTCTGAGTAGGTTTTTAGTTTAGGTGGTATTTTCTGTCTTAGGAAGGGTGGGGAGATGGAAAATGAGATAAGTAAGACAAACTCTCAGTTACAGAATGGACATAACCTGCAATGATACCTGGAATTCTATGAGGTTCAAAGTGACAATGACGATGATTGATTAAACTCTTACTACGTGCTAGGCACCATTCTAGGTTCATTAACTATATTCAATGATCCTATTAATATCACCATTTTACAGATGAGGAAAACAAGGCACAAGGAAGCTAAGTAACTTGCCCAAGATTACACATCTTGCTCCCTTGACACAGGGAGGACCTGGGACCAGAGAAGCCAAGCCCCTGTGAGGTTTGCTCCGCCAAGGACGGAAACCTGACATGGGAGCGCAGCCACCACAGGAACCTAGATTATGTTCCCAATGTTGCCACTTAAGCAACAGTCTCCACATTCTCTTGGCCAAAACATCAATCAAGTAATCAGAAGAATCAGCTGAGATTCCTAACAGTTCCTTCTCAGACTGTTCCCATGGAGGTGGGGAAGGAGGGAAAAGATCCCGGTTTTCTAGATCTTGATTACTGATGGAACACTGGCTGATTTTCCTGGAACTGCCTTTAACTAATTTAAGAAAAATTAGCGAGGAAAGCAGCTCTGGAGGAAATGTGCAGAATAAAGATGCACATGGCACTGACAGGTATTTAGTAATCTAGCAGAAAGGGAGGTGGGAGGCAGAAGCGGTCGTCAATGTACAGAACGACATTGGCTACTTTTGACCAAGTTCAATGGCTTTTTTTTTTTTTAAAGTAATATAAATAAAAAGGAATCCTCACTGGTGTAAGTTCCTCCTGCCTTCTTTTCCTCTACTTTTTTCAACTGCTCATAGTTTGGACCTGTATGAGCCAGATTTCACATATTGATCAACCTCTGCAAATTTATACATCTTTTTCTTAAGGGAGGAAACAAAGATCAAGTTGAACTCAGGCAGAAGAGAAAAATTCCATGATGAATGAATGCAGTCTTCATGGGCAAGTATAGTATGATGGCGGGGGGGGGGGGGGGGGGGGGAGGCAGGGGCAACTTTACAAAGCTTCCTCAAATTTGCTTACCTTCATTGTTTCTTGCCTCTGATTTTCACTGAATAACCTAAGACCGCCTTGAGATCCTGAGAGTCCAAAAGAAAACCCAATTAAAACAATCTCCAGGGTATTCCACCCATCTCGACTCGAGGAAAAGTCCCAAACCTAGGAGATGGAACTACAGTGACCACAGTTAGGTGACTTTTAATATCCACATTCCTTCCACACTCTCGTAATTCTGGCCCAACTACCTACTAACTGTGGGACCATGTGCTTCACTTTCCTCCTCCATAAAATGGGGACGATAATACTTTCTTCATCAGGTTGGTGTGAAAATTAAATGAGTTAATACATGCACAGCACTTAGAACAGTATCTGGTACAGAGTAAGTGCTCAAAGAATGTTAGCTATTAATATTATTACTATTAGCATTTGCAAAAAACATTACATAGGGACGCAAATACAGGAGGCTTCTACTGTATTGGTAATGTTTTACTGCGTTAACAAAAAATCTAAAATTAGAACCATCAATACAAAAATATAAAATGGTCTTGGGAAAAGAAAAAAAAAGCCACTCAGAGTCATGCCACCTGTTGGGGAGTTTCAGGTGAGGGTACACCTCGGAGCAGCTGTGGAATCCCGTTCCACGGCTGCTCTGTATTTCCCTTATATGATGCCTCCACTTCTGCTGCGGTTCTTAATCAGCGTTTCATGGGCAGGATTACGGGCGGGTCCGTGAACCCCCTGAAACTGTACACGGAACTGGGTGGGGCTGCGGCTCTGGGCATTTTGCAGGCAAGAGTTCTATAGCTTTTCTCACGCTCTAATAAATGATCTTGTAGGGAGCAACTTGCTTTACAGGGTTAAACACAGGAGATAGGGACTGAACAATTCATTTCACGGAAGCTACGGCAGTAAACAGGACACCTGGGCTGTCAATCTGCTATCTCAACACGAGACCCGGCGCCGCGAGGGGCAAGAGCCGGCCGGGCAGTGACCTTCACCGTCGAAAATCTCACCGGCTCCCCAGACCCGACTCGGGTTTGCCGGGTTTAACTTCCCCTCCCTTCCCCCATCCCTCGTTCTCTTCCAAGAATAAACTCAAAGGAAATCAGCAGCGCTTCGTCTAGGGTTTCACTCCTGCCCTCGGCTGACACTTAAACCACTTCTCCAAGGGAAGTTAATTAAAACAACAATTAATCCGCACAAAAATCCACCCCCAAAGCTCGAGAACTCTCAAAGTTAGAAGACTGAGGCGCCGCTGCTGATGGTGAACATCTGCCGGTCGCTGGGGCTCACGGGTAGGCGGCGGGTACGAAAGGGAAGCAGCCAAGGTCCGGCCGGAGGGTCGGACGCTGGCCACCCTCCGCGAGTCTACGCGCTACCGACGCCGGTGAAGACTGGCTTGGAGGCAGCCAGGTAAGCAGGTAGGTGTGGGCAAGTGTACGAGCACACAGAGAAGGCGGATTAAAGCTCAAGCCCGTTCACCCACCGCTCCTCCTTCCCCGGCGGGTGTTCTCACGCACCGCCCGGCGGCCACTTACCGGGGAAAGCCTGAGCGCTCGACGGTCCCCCTCTTTGGAATAGGCTCCCCCAATTCCTAGTAAGCCCGAGTAGCTCCCCTTGCCTCCCAGCCTTCAAGCCTCGAAAAGAATTCGCCGCCCTCTCCTCTTAGGCGGGCGCAGAACACCCCCGGGAGAGAGAAGTGGAGGGGACAGGGGAAAGCGGGGTGTCGCGGAGGGCAGGTGCCACCGGGCGCGCAGTAGGCAGCGTACGTACCCAGCACGAAGAGGGCGAGCTGTCCAGCCGAGGTAACCATTTTACGGGCGGCGGGCGGCAGGCACTCCAGCCTCCTGCCCTACCTGAGGTGCCCAAGTGGCGAAGCGGCGCCGCGGTGCGGGGGAAAAAGGCGCCGGCTAGGCAGGGCCAGCCCCCGGCGCGGGCGGGCGGAGGGAGGACCGCGCGCCTCTGCTGGCACTCGCCCCGCCGCGCCGGCGGCCGGGCGGAAACGGGAAGACGGTTACCGTCACCTCCGCCACTCGGCTACTGGGCCTGGCGGACCACCTTCGCGCCCCGGTTGGGGGGGCCCCTCTAGGGGCAGGGGGGTGGGGGTGGAGCGGGGGTGGGGTTGGAGCAGGGGCGGGGAGACTGCGCGCACCGTGCCGGGCCGGGCGGGGCGGGGCGGGGCGGCGCGGCGCGACCCGGGAATCTCCGAGTCCGCGGCGCGGGCCGGGCACCCAGGCCGAGGGAAAGGCAGGAAGCGCCTGATTTCAGACACCACCCTCAGACTAGCAGCTCAGTGCGGAGCCCGAGCGGCCGGGCGCAGTGGCCGCTTCTAGCCAGGCAGGGGAGCGGAGCGGCCCTGGCGTCTGTCACTTGCGCCAACGGCAGCTGCCGGGGGCTCTCCCGGGCAAGGCACTGAGACTCGACCCGGAACGGGACCTGCGAGCTTCACCTGCCCCTGTCAAGACTTGGCCCAAGGAAAGTGCTCCCCAGAATCGAGCGAAGAATTTGTTCAACCAGATTTCCCACCTGCGCCCCCATCCGAGAGAACGCTGGATTGTCGGGACGCCTGCCGCGGGAGCACAGCCACCCCACGTTCTCAGGCGGCACGTTGTTAAGATCAGCGGGCTTTCGTGCATCTGGTCTGATGCTGACAGTGAAGATGGGTCTTTGCTGTGGGGCACCTGGTTATCTATCACCACCAGTACCCCCAGACCATTCCACCCCATCCCGCCACAGGCCGTTGAGGCCGAGAACAAGGTAGCATGCAGCCGTATGTCCCTGAGAGAGGATGTGTATGGGCAGGAGCTACCTGAGTGGTTCTTTCAAGGATTTGTAGCCTTGAGCTGGCCCCTGGTGCTGGAATTTGGGGAAGTAGAGGGGACAGAGGGAAGACATTCTGGACAGAGAATGGAAGAATTATATGTTCCCTAGGGGCCATCCATAGGGGACAGTGTGCCGTTGAGAGGCTGTGACTGGTGTATTCTCCAGATGCCCCGAGCTCAAGGATTAAGTCTTCTCCTGGTCCCTCTAGCCTACCTGCTCAGGGTAGACCCACTCTCCTTGAAGGGGCAGGGAGCAAAATCTCTTTCTGTTTCCTTGGTGCAATGCTCAGACTCTCAGAGTTGATGTTTGTTAAGTTTATTTCATAGGAGCTGAGTTTCAAAAAGGAAGCACCAGGCCACTGGCCTCAACATTTGAGCAGGAAACACCGTGTAGAAAGGGATTTTGAAAACAGTGTAAATTTACTCTGAGAAACCATTCTTTGCAATACATTTGTCAGAGGATATTTTGCTGCTCTTTCAACCGTTAATGATTGGTGGTGAGGGTTTCATGATAAGTCCTTGGGTACATCTTTTCCTAAGTCCACACGTATGCATGTACAGAGCACACACACACTCTCTTTAGTGAGTGGTCCCTGACTCCCTTCAGCATCTGTGTCTTCATCCTTCAGACTGGTCTTGACCTGTTCCAGTGGCTCTTCTGTCTCCTTCCTAGACTAGCCTGCCTTTTCGATAGGAGGAAAGAAATCAGGAGTTCTCCACACCCTTCTCCTATTCTCCAGGACCCCCAGCTAAGAGTGGAGAATTGACCTGTCAGCTTGTTTCCTGCTGGGACACACACATCAAGTTCACTGTGGCTGAGGGCTGACTGTCCAAACTGGCAAGAGTCAGGTTCAGCAGTTTCCCCTCCTCTGCCCCCTGCCTGCACACAAAGTCTTGGGTGGAGGGAAGTAGCAGCAGAATCAAGACAACGAGCTTGTCCCCTTCAGCGTTGTAAAATCTTTGTAATCAGAATATAATTTGATATCTTGCAGGCTAAAGAGTACTCACATCAAAGGACATTCTAATGCTTGGAAATCATTAATTCTTCCCTCAAATTGTCAATAGCCAGTCCACATCTGTAGTTTTATCAACCTTCCAAATCATTCAAGTCAAAGAGACAACCAGGCATTGAAGTTTTTTTCTAAACATCTACAACATTTTTTTGTAAACTGAAAAATAATTTTTGGACATTTATAGAACTAGGAGGAAACCCAATATCCTAAAATGTTAACACTCTGACTCTGGCATCTTGTATATCTGATTGAATCCTCACAACAACCCTATGAGGTAGACTCCATCCTCCTTTTATATGAAAACAATCGAGACCTAGAGAATTTAGTAACTTACCCAGAGAAACAAAGCCTGCAATTGGCAGAGCCCGATTTTGAAAGCAAAATGAGCCGGTTCGAAAGCCTCTGTATTGGCTTCTATACCATGCTGCCTCAGTTCCCATGGTTTTCATAAGGATAATACTGAACTCACTGGGTTGACGTGAGGACTAAATGGAAGAATTTATTTGTATGCTTAGCACATTATTTAATATCAACAAATATAACTATTGCTTAAAGAAAAACTCTCTCAGTGGACATAAATTTCCCACTCTCAATTTCCTACCAGTGTCTTTTTTTTATTATCATTTCCATATCAGTTCTTTGCTTGTGCATGTGTACACCTTCCTACAGGGGATAGTTTCACAGGTAAGTCAGGAGCTATGAATTTGTTTCTCAGCCTGTGGTATAAGAAGTATGAGGAAAAAATGACAGAATGCGATTTAGAGGGAAGAAATCATTTTTCCTAGAGGAAGCTGTGATGTTTTTGTATTTTAGCAGTATGGAATAATGGCACCCCAAGCTGAGTGAAATTCCAGCTGTAGCCCCTGGATGCTGCATAGAGAACGCCACTGCGTTCCTTTACCTACAGACACAGTAGCTGTCTCGCGTGGCCACTGAAAGTCCTGTTTCTGTGTGCGTGGAGACTGACCAGCGTGTGGCCTTCCTCCTAAGAATATGCCTGGGCTACTGCTGCACATGCTTGATTCAGCTGGCCTTGAGCTCAAGGATAATACCTTCTGTAAAGCCAAGCACAGCCTTTTCTCCCCGTGCAAACAGGAGAACTGCTCTATCTTCTGCTCAGAGGCCAGCAAAGTCCCACTGTCAGTTTTCCCTTTCCTTTCTTCCACATACTTATCACAGAGTGTATGTTTAAAGAGTCTCCTTCTTCACTGTAATCAGCCGCCCCCTCCTTCCTGATTCATTTGTGGAAGTGATTGTGGGACCACTAGCCTCAGAGTCTTCCCTGAATGATTCAGGCCAGCAGAATTCGCTGTTTAGATCGGCAATTAACCCAGATATTAGTGAGTAAACAGCCCAGACATTCTTAGGGAGGAAGCACTGCCATGGGCCACTGCATTGAAGGAACTACAATTCCTGCAGACAAGCCTTGGAGGGCAGTGAGCAGAGAAGTCTTCTGGTGGCTGCAGGACCTTCCTCGATGGCAGCAGTAGACAGGGGGACTCAGAGGAAAAACAGGAAAGGGTGCCTGACTCAGTAGGATGTCAAAGGTCAGATGTCATCTGTGTATGAGAGAGAGAGAGAGAGAGAGAGAGATTTTTTTTGTTGTTGTTTGTTTGTTTGTTTTTTGAGGTACGCGGGCCTCTCACTATTGTAGCCTCTCCTGTTGCAGAGCACAGGCTCCGGACGCCCAGGCTCAGCGGCCATGGCTCACGGGCCCAGCCACTCCATGGCATGTGGGATCTTCCCGGACCGGGGCACGAACCCGTGTCCCCTGCATCGGCAGGCAGACTCTCAACCACTGCGCCACCAGGGAAGCCCGAGAGAGAGGTTTTATAAAGGACTCTGGAGAACTGTGTTCAGGCAGAGTGAGGTTTTAATGTGTTAAGGGATTTAGGAAAAGAAATCTAATCCAAAGTAAGGTATTGTTCGCGGATCAGCCCCCTGCAAAGCCTCAGCTATTAGTGTATTCCTTATCTCTAGCCAAAAGAAAAAGTAGGAAACCTTATGCGGAGTCCACTTTTACAGTTTTCATCACCAGCATAATGGGTGAGGTAAGAAGCCATCAGAGGCGTTTGCTTTGTTCTCAGCTACCTAGGTGGTTTTCATGCCAGTATTGTCGGAAGACTGGTCTGACCTTCTGCTAACATCTTCCATCTATCTCCCAGCTCTCAGGTCTACCTTGGGAATGCACATTCAAGTTGTGTATTCAGCTTGAATCCTTCCTTCGCAAGGGATATTGCAGGATGGCTCTAAAGCCCAGTATTGAAGTCTGGAGGTTGATGGTTCCACAGGTGGTCCAAGCGGCTCCAAGATGTCAAGGTATTAGTCAGAGTCTCTAAGACTCAGAGTTACCAGGCGGCTGCTACAACTAAAATCCTTATCTTCTCATATAGCTCGTGAACTGCCTAGTTGACCAGCATGCAGGAGAGGTACCCAGAGGATTCAGCACAGCTGATGCCAAACCATTCCATTAAGCACACTTGGAGACAGAAGAGCTATGCATTCAATTCTGTCCTTGCTGCTGTCCCCCGACCTCCTGCAGCCTCAGCCGTACAGCCAAAGCTTTCTGGAGACTGGGAAGATTGCCCTCCAAATTCTCAGGAGTGCCGGGGGAAAGTCCTAAATCAAATGCCTAGCTATCCTTACGCAGGTGAAACTAATGGTATTGATGGGAAAGAGGAGTGATGATCAAGAGAAGCAAAAGAGAGACAGGAAAAAATATATAAAGAATTGAGGAAGGAAAAATCAAAGAAAGATAGAGAGCTGCAAAATGGACTTAAATATTTTTTAGTGATGGGTCAATCTGCCTGATAAGCTCAAAAAATTCTCCCCAAACTCAGAGGAAAAGGAAAAAAATTATGAGAGATAAGATATGAGACAGAGGGACTTCCCTGGTGGACCACTGGTTTAGAAGCCACCTTCCAATGCAGGGGACATGGGTTCTATCCCTGGTCAGGCAACTAAGATCCCACATACCACGGGGCAACTAAGCCTGCACACCACAACTAGTGAGCTGGTGCGCCCTAGAGCCATGCGCCACAACTAGAGAGAAACCCACATGCTGCAACTAGAGAAGACCACGTGCCGCAGCTAAGACTGGACACAGCCAAATAAATAAATAAATAAAATTTAAATATATGAGACAGAGAAGGACAAAGCCAGGATATCCAAAATATTTTTAACAGAGAGCCAAAAAGGGAGCATATTGCTGATAGAGGAGAAACTGTTCTTGTGTCCCAAGACAGGAGGGGTCCTCAATAAGGGGAGGGGGATATACATCCCACAGATCTATAAGGGGGAGGGGATTTTGAGATAATAAAAAGTGCAAGGACAGACTTCTATTCTGTGACATACATTTAAACCATCACATTGAACTTCTCCTCCTGCCTCTCTTTCAAACTCCCATTGCAACAGGCAAAGGAAAATAATGACGGGGGGAAATCTGCCATTGTTCAAAACTGAAAAAAGATTCCACCCACATAACAGACATTTTAAGGAATTTCTCTAAGACAACGCAGATGAGACCAGTTTGAGAGAAGGCTTTGACAACCTTCAATTTACCTCACAGAAAAGAAAGGTATCTCTAGGGAGCCACCCCCATCAGAACCCAGCAATGCTCCTGAGGTTGGTTGTAACAAAGGCTGTAGGCAGAAATGAACCACAGAAAAGGGAGGAGGGGCAAATCTCCATCCTCTTGAAGAATCCAGGGAGTGTCCAGGTACCGGGGTGCACACAGGGCAGGGATCCCTTGGAGGGGGCTCTCACATTTGATGCCTGGCACAGAGAGCACATTGCCGAGGGGGCCGCGGTGAGGGCAGCCGCACTGGCTCCCAGCTAGCGTTATGTGGTTACACGTGCAGGGGAAAGAAACTCTTCAACGTGCAGGTGAAATGCAGGGCCTCTTTCGGGAGTCTCCCACAGACACCTGGCTCTTTTTTCTTTCATCCGTTCATTCCACACATGTCCATGACAAGCCTGCTATGTTCCAGGCGCTAGGGATTCAACAATGGACAAGTAAAGTGCTCTCTTCTTTGTGAAGCCACACAGGCAGAAGAATCAGGTAACCTCTGAAGGAAACACATCATCTTCATGTTTGCTGCATAAATGCCCAAACCAACAAAGCAATATGTATGGAAAATGCATTTTTTGGGGAAATGATTGTAACACAAAATTCTGTTTCTTACCAAGCTATTTCAGACAAGCAGCTATAAAAAATGTAAATCATTCATGTACCACCCCAATGGAAAAATAAATAAATAAAAAGACTCCACCGAAAATATTCCAGCCAAGCAAATAAACTCAGTAATGTAAAAGAAATAGTGTAACGGAAATGGCAGTGAATGATAAAGCAGTAACACTGTTGAGCCTTACTCCCGATTTTTAATATATTGTGGCACTCACTGTTGGATGCCAATAGAATGGACATTTTCCTTTTCTTCCTGCTAACAGAATCCCAGTTTTGTGTGATTGACAGCATGCGCTGTCCCAGGGGATGAAGCAAGAGGATTCCTTGCCCATTGTTGATGATTGGCTTAGGGCTGGACATGTGACTAAGTTCTGGCCAATAAAATGTCAGGAAAGTCTCCTGTTAGGCTTCTTGGGTAGAAATTTGCTTCTTCTTCTTCTTTTTCCTTTTAATTGAATTATAGTTGATTTATAATATTATATTAGTTTCAGGTGTACAGCATAGTGATTCAGTATTTTTGCAGATTATACTCCATTATAGGTTATTACAAGATAAAGGCTATAATTCCCTGTGCTATACAGTATATCCTTGTTGCTTGTCTATTTTATACATAGTAGTTTGTATTTGTTAATCTCATACCCCTAATTTGTCCCTCCCCCTTCCCTCTCCCCTTTGGTAACCACGTTTGTTTCTGTATCTGTGAATCTATTTCTGTTTTGCGTATACATTCATTTGTATTTTTTCAAGATTCCACATATAAGTGATATCACACAGTATTTGTCTTTCTCTGTCTGACTTTTTTCACTAAGTATAATATTCTCTAGGTCCATCCATGTTGCTGCAAACAGAATTTTGTTCTTTTTATAGATGAATAATATTACATATTTTTGTGTGTGTGTGTGTGTGTGTGTGTGTATGTATACCACATCTTGTATACACAAACACACCCCACATCTTCTTAACCCAATTTGAACATTGGGGTGCAGATTATCTTTTCAAATTAGTGTTTTAGTTTTTTTGCAGATATATACCCAGGAGTGAAATTGCTGGATCATTTTAGTTTTCTGGGAACCTCCATACTGTTTTTCATAATGGCTGCACAAATTTACATTTCAACCAACAGAGTACAAGGATAGCCTTATGAGAGTTCCCTTGTATGTCATTTGTTGTAGCTTTCAGACTTAGTAGCGTCTGAAGTCTGGGAGGTATAACCTCCAGACTTTGCTCTTTTTGTCAAGATTTCTTGGGCAATTTGGGGCCTTTTGTGGTTCCATATGAGTTTTAAGATTATTTGTTCTAGTTCTGTGAAAAATGTCATGGATATTTTGATAGGGATTGCATTAAATCTGTGGATCGCTTTGGGTAGTATGGCCATTTTAACAGTATTAATTCTTCTAATCCGAGAACATGGGATATCTTTCCATTTCTTTGTATCAGCTTCAATTTCCTTCATCAGTGTTGTATAGTTTTCAGAGTATAGGTCTTTCACCTCCTTGGTTAAGTTTATTAGGAATTTTCTTTTTGAAGCCAGGCAATGAGGTAGCCTGATCTTTCTTCCTGTCTTGAAGATGGTTGTCTAAGGATGAAGTATCTGGAGTGTGACATCCATCCTGTGACCATGAGGAAAAGGCCAAGAGAATCTGAGAGCACCTCGGCATTTTAGAGCTGCTGAACGAAACATAGACCTGCTGAACCAACCACAGACCTGCTTCCATTCACTCTCCTTTCTATGTGGTGTAATTAAATGTCCTTAATGTCTGAGCCACTGTTAGGTGAAGCTGAAGGTATGGTTGGAAATTTAATAAAACTATTGAAGATAATTCTTGAAAGAAAACATATATACATGGATTAGTAGTCAGGATTAAATCATAGTAATAATCTAAATCTAAAGGCCCAGATTATTGTTATAGAAACTGGAGGGACAGGGTGGCATAGAAGGGAAAATAAAAATGTGCTTATTTTGTTATCACTCACTGAAGAGAATTAATAACTACTATAAAATTATTTTCTTTGATAGATATATAAATTCATTTAAAGATTTAAAGGTCACTAGTAATAGAATAAAAATACAACATTTAACATCCAAATTTCTAGAGGAAAAAAGGGAGCAGAGAGAGATATATTGAGTTAGCAGGAAAAGGGAATGAGGAAAAAGTCCAAGAAATGTAAAAAATTATACATATGATCAGATGGTAGAAGTAAGCACAAATGTATCTGTATTCCAATTAAACATGAATAGTTTTAATTCCCCTTTTAAAATACAAAATCCAACTAGAGGCTTTTAAAAAACTCACCTGTCGGTGATATAAAATCAAAAACTGTAAATACAAACCAAAAGGAATGTGGTAGGGTAACATAATTATGAGAAAACTAAAATTTGTAGCACAAAAATGAATTCATATATAAACAAGATTATTTTGGTCAAAACTATTAGAAATGCAAGGAGAACTACAAGAACAAATTTTCATCCTTTTGTGTTCTAGACTCTCACATCAATGGTCCCCAATGGCGCATACTTCCCCGATACCCATGCTCTTGGATTGCCCCCTCCCACACTGGGACTGGGTTTGACCATGTGTCTTTCTTAGTTCAATGGGACTTCAGTTAATGGGAGGATACAAGCAGAGACTTGAAAAACTCCTGTGCATTAGAGCTTGCTGTCTTAGAATGGTTCCACCACCATGTGCAGAAGCTCAGTCTGGTCTACTGGAGGATGACAGGCCATGTGGAGCAGAGACAAGCCACCAGTCCTGAACACAGCCCCTGTCTGATCCACCAGTTGAATTCAGCTGTAAGAGTGAACCCAGCCCACTCAGAATCCTGAGAAATAATAAAATGTCACTGTTTTAAACCACTAAATTTTGGGGTGGTTTGTTATGCAACAATAGATAAGGGATACCCTTTTTGAAACTGGAGCATCTCTGTGGCACCTCAAAAGGAAAAAAAAACTTAGTAAATTTACAATGAATTTGGATCATTTATCTAATGTAATTAATTTAATATGTACAAATTAAGATTTTGTATTCTACAAATATACATACATTCCTTTCAAAAATCCTTAAAGATTTTTATGAACATATGCTGACCTTCAAATGAAACCTTAAATTTCAGGAAGAAAAAACTTCTTTCTTAGGCTACAGTCATTAACTATAATTCAATTAGATTAGAATTTAATAACAAAGGACAACTTAAACATACAATAAAAACATTTTTTCCTAAATTACTATTGGATCTAAGAGAAAATTAAAATTATACTTCAAAATAGTGATGAGAACAAAGTCAAAATATTTGGGATTCGGCTAAAGCTGAAATTTATAGCCACAGATTTTCTTTTATTATTAAAAAATAGTTAAACTAAATGAAGTAACAACTTTACTGAAATAGAAAATAAAATAAATCTAAGGAAAACCGAAATGTGGGGTCACAATTAAAGCAAAAATTAGTGAATTAGAAAAGGCAAAAATCAAGGAGTTCCTTGGCGGTCCAGTGGTTAGGACTTGATGCTTTCACTGCTGTTGCCCGGGTTCAATCCCTGGTCGGGGAACTATGATCCACCTGGCACAGCCAAAAAAAAAAAAAAACAAAAGGCAAAAATCAGAATAAATGAAAGAGCATCTTTGAAAAGAATAATAAAAGCATGGCAAGATTAAACATGAGTGAAGAGAAAATACAAAATTTATAGTGTTGGGAATGAGATGTGAAATAGAACATATGTAGAAAAGATTTTTTAATTATAAGAAA